CGGTGTTCAAGTGACATCTTGGCAACAGTTGAATGCTTTGCATGTTTTTGTTACACTGCTTTTTTTAAAAAACTTTATAGAGGAGATGACTAAAATCATGCTGCTATCACTGTGAAATTCCCAATCAAAACAAGTTATAACATTTTTTTTTTTTTTTTTTGTGACTGAAAACCCGATGGATTATTTTATTAGCATTTCTTAAATTCTTCTCTTTTGTGTTTTTTTTTTTTTTTGCTGCAGTGCCAACAGTATGCCTAAACAAGTGGAGGTGAGGATGCATGAGAGCCACCTGGAGCCCATCGAGGCGAGGCCTCGGTCCAAATGTGCCCAAATCTGCTCCAAAATGTTCAAGAACCTCCTGCTCACGCTCACAGTCCTTGGTAAGATTTTTTTTTTTTTTTTCTTTCTCAGGCGTATGATAAAAACTATGCTCTGTTAACTCAGAGCTAAACTCTGCAGCTAGCTTACAGCGTGAGGAGGAGATGCCATCTGTGTTCAGTGTAACAGGCAGTAAGCTGACTGGGTGTTCTGACCTTCTACAGCATGATGCCACCTGTTGCTATGAGTTGTGTGTCGACACATACAAGTCACCCAAACAAACCCATGGTGATGGACGCAAAGCATCGTGGTTACCGCTGTAACTCTTTGTGATGAAGGAAGGGAATTAATAAACACTGAAAGCATGCCATGTTTTGGTTGCTGAACAGATCTTTTATTATATTACTTCTATGCCTTGTCATGGCCATCAGTGACACATTACTTTCTAATGAGGTTTCGGAAATTCCTTCCAATGAGGACTTTTAAAAGTTTTGGACAGTTCAGCTTTTATGGACATCTCAATCACACAACGCTCATAAAGTGAGCTCAGAGCATGATAGCTCCCCTGTCACATCAGAACTAAGAAATAAATCTCTGTAAAGAAGTAAGTAACTGGTCATTGATAAGGTCGAAGAGAAAAGATGTCTAAAATCAACCGGATGTTGGCAGCCCCAGGATGTCACTCGTGCTTCCGTACTGGCTATGCACCAACAGTCACGCAGACGCAGAGGAACAGCAGCTGACTCTAGCCAGACCAGATGGATGGCAGATTTACATTCTGGAAATAATTGTGGAGATAGAGAATCACTTCTACCATATACATTAAGACTAAGATATATGTCTGCCAGATTTACTGATCTTAAGGTTTATGCATCTAAATATAGGTTTTAAAAGTTATATGCCAGCTCTCTCAGTCTCCAGTATGCTTGTCTGCCGTACTCAGATGTTTGTTATCGAAATGCAGAGGAGGAAACAGGTAATGATTTGACACTTGAAATAACTACATAAACTGATAAAGATTTTTTGTTTGTTTGTTTGTTTGTTTTACAGATAGCCTAAACTGTTTCAAAATGAATGTGTCTAAACTGAATGTGCTTCATGTTGATTTGGGGAAAACATCATCTTCCTCGCTGTACGTCACTTTCAATAGTGCGATGATACTCTCTTAACAGCTTCAGCAAGAATCTTCATGATGACTTTTGCTTTTGTTCTGGTGTTGATTTGCATGTTTCACCCCAAAATGTTGTGTTTCAGAACTCTTCTCCTTAGTAAACATTATAATGGCTGGATATTCATATTGTGTTCATACTCTAACTGTATCAACAGACAAACTTGGTAGTTTCAGACATGCATCTGGAAATTGCATCGACAAATGAATTAAACTTTTTATTTTTTTCTTGGGTAATGTTATTTTTTTCCCCATTAGGTAACATAACAAAGTAGTATGTTTTATGTGTTGTCTTACAGTAAATACATTCAGAGGTGTGCCTTCAGGTAACTGAAATAGTGTGAGTAGCCAGAAGATCACAAAAGTAATTCCCAGATATATACAAAATTATGTTGTCATTATCTGGTCACTGTAAAGTTACAGTGACTTTCATTGTAACTCATTTGTATGCATTGTGTATACATTTAAAATGTATATGTTTAAAAAGGTATTTAAAATTTTTCAAAAAGTCCACCCTCATTGTTGTTGCATTTATCCACTGGAGATTGTCATGGTAATTATAACTGATTTAAACTGCAGAGGTGTTTATACGGAGTACATACATACATACATATATATATATATATATATATATATATATATATATATATATATATATATATATAATCTCTGGAGCTGTGACTACACCGGCCCCTATGAGGTTGTTACTTGTCAAATATATTGAAAGTGTATCTGAAACAAGAAAGTATGGCTGGTTTCCAAGGGTTTGCAGGAGACACTTTTGCTTTCTTTCAAGAACATTGAAGCACATCAGCGATTTGCAGAGTTGCCTGTGAGCAAACCTCAGAGAAACTATAAAAAATATTTTAAGAACAGACAAGTGCAGTAGTGTAAGTTTTAATCCATTCTCCAAATGAAAAACTGGTCTACTTCTTTAGTATTCTGTGGAATTTGAATATGCTGAAAAAAAAAAATCTTGAAGTTAAATTTTACATATGCCTGACAATCTGATATGCTGCCTCTTTCAAAGAAATTTGATCTTGGCTGGTTTTGGTTTTATCTTGACAACTGACTATGCTTGCTGAACATGTAGCCAACAGGATCTTTTTTGACCCTAAACAGCTGATTTGAGAACGTGGGAGTAGATACTGAGTTGTCTTCAAAGACAAAGAACCACAGAAGCAAAAACAACTGATTGAAAATGACTAGAATTTTCATATTAAATAATGCAGTTTATCCATTGAGATTGTTCCCCCTTGCGTAGATTGAGATGCATTTTTCATCAAGTGATTATGAATTTATTCCCACTCCTTTCATTTTAGGAGTGATCCTGGGAGCTGTAGCAGGGATGCTGCTGCGTGTTGCCTCTCCAATTCATCCGGATATTGTCATGGTGATTGCTTTTCCTGGAGATATTCTGATGAGGATGCTGAAGATGTTGATCCTGCCTCTCATTATCTCCAGCTTAATCACAGGTGCCGACTTGATCACAATCAAAAACGTGTGCTTTTAAATTCTCAAGAAAAAAAAACTATGTTACTCATATTGACTGGTTGCTTCCTCTGTTGCAACATACTTGATGGTGAACTTAGAGTCACCAACTAGCAACTTGTTTTGATTTCTTTATCCCTACATATTATGTCAGTTTCTTCTTTGAACTAGAAATGATCAGATTAACATCTTGCTTGTGTGCATACAGGGCTTGCTGGCCTGGATGCCAAATCTAGTGGTCGCCTCGGAACCAGAGCTATGGTCTACTACATGTCCACCACTATCATTGCTGCTGTCCTGGGTGTCATCCTGGTGCTAGTCATCCACCCTGGCAACCCCAAACTGAAGGAAAATCTGGGCGAGGGCGAGAAAAACGATGATGTGTCCAGCTTGGATGCCTTCTTCGATCTGATAAGGAATCTCTTCCCAGAAAACCTGGTGCAAGCCTGCTTCCAACAGGTAAAAGATGAGATTGCGTTTGTAGAGTCCATTCTAATTGTTAAGTTCTCATTATAATATCATGTTAAACTAGAAGAAAGTTTTATTTATTGCATTGAAATAAGTTAGTTTCAGACATACTCTTACCTTCCAGTCTGCTCAACTGTTTAACTGTAAAGATTACGATATAAATTTTGTTAGTTGGGCCCGTCCACTCTGAGCGCACTAAGAGCGACAATAACACTTCCATTCAAAGTGTGACAGCAAATAGAAAACAGGTGTAGATACTGTAAGGCTGATCTGTTGCTTTCTTGTATTTAGACCCTATGCTGACCTAACATAAGATGGTCTAAATAGCAACAGAGCTAGATATATCCTGACAGGAATGAAGCTAGCTGCTTTCTAAAAAAATAAAGGGGTTATTTTCAATTAAATTGTGACTATAAAAAAGCCTAAATATATAATGTAAGCATCACATTAGAATCTGTATAATTAGGTCATAACATATCTTAAAACCAGTTAGGGAATTCTGATGGTTTTTCTTTTCTGCAACTACTGAGAACTTATTTGGCAACTACTGCCACTTATTTATGTTTCTTTTTTTTTTCCAGATCCAAACAGTCACAAAAAAAGTTGAGGTGGTTGTGGAGGAGGAAGTTAATGTCACCACTATGGAGGGCCTGGTGGCTAACATTACCAAGGAGCCACAGTTCATCATCAAAAAGTCACTTCAGTTCAAAAGTGGCATGAATGTTTTGGGTATGCAATACAGGGTACTCTGGGGCCTCATCGTTAATTGCACACATTTGCACCGTTGCATCAAATTGATGTTAAAATCATCATGCTAGCTGTAACAAAGCTAACATTTGCTGATGGGCAGAGAATCCCAAGCTTCTTGTGATGAAAATGCAATTTATTTGCTGTTGAGGCATTTTCATCAACTAAAACAAGTCAGCTCATCAAATTCATTTCTCATACTCGGCAATGTAAATATCTTTATACATTTTCTGCCTACTTCCTACTGAAGTCGCCCTCCATTGCATCTTTTCTGATGCATTCATAATTTTCTGCTGCAGGTCTGATTGGTTTCTTTATTGCATTTGGCATCTGCATGGGCAAGATGGGAGAGAAGGCCAGACTCATGATTGAGTTCTTCAATATCCTCAATGAGATTGTGATGAAACTTGTCATCATGATCATGTGGTTGGTATCTGTCATGAATTTCTTTGATCCATTTCAAAATCCATTTCACTGTGCTTGAAAACAAAATTTCATGTCAATGTAAATTTTTCACATGTTCTCATGCTCCATCCACAAACTTCAATGTATTCTTTTGGGGTTTTGTGTGATATGCTGACATAGCACAGTATTGTGATTAAGAAGGAATGGGATGGATGCTTTTCGTTATCTCTTACAAAAATGAATCTGAAAAATATGAAAGGTATTCAGCCATCCTGAGTCAATATTTTGCAGATATGTCCTAATGACTCTCTGTGACTTCTGTAGCAAAAGGTGGTTGTATGTTACAGATATCAAGAATGAAATGTTTGGCAATTCTTCTTTCCAAAATAGCTTAATGACAATCATATAAGATGGAGAACATATTGAAGTATGATTTTTTTAAGTTTTACTGAAGTTCCTCAATAGGATATAGTTTCATAGTTTGACTTGGCTCTTCTAATACTTGAATAATAATTGATAATTGTACGTTTAGCTTTATGTTTAGGATTGGAACATTGAAAATGTGGATTTTTCATTGCGGTCAAAACCGTTTTTTTTTTTTTTTTTTTTTCAAATGACCAGAGCATAATTTTCCCTTATGTTTGCATTGTACCCTGCATGGCTTCTGCCAAACTGCTACTCTTCCATAAAAGTCAGATTTATGGAAGGCATGAACCACAGATTTTACATCGACAGGTTTCTCAATCTGAGGTATGAATCTCTGCAGCTCTCCTACAGTTATCACATGTAACTCTAATTAAATACAATCAAGCTTGTGGTTGTATGTTTAAAAAATGTAGAAACGCTTAAGCTAACTAAGCTTCCAAAAACTGCAAGAAAGGGACTCCTTTATCTCATGTTATTTTGAAACATATCTAAAGGTTATTACATCATTATCACAGTGCTCTTACAACTTGTTTTGATTTTGCTTTTCATTTTGATTTCAAAGTAACAATAGATTGTTTCTCACCCAATAAGGTACTCTCCCTTTGGTATTGCCTGTCTGATTTGTGGCAAGATCATCTCCATTAAGGACTTGGAGGTGGTGGCCAGGCAGCTTGGCATGTACATGGTGACTGTGATTATTGGTCTGATCATCCATGGCGCAATCTTCCTGCCCAGCATTTATTTCGTCATTACAAGGAAAAACCCCTTCACCTTCTTCTTGGGAATCTTCCAGGCCTGGATCACTGCTCTGGGAACAGCTTCCAGGTCAGCATGAATAAGGATCAATGAGTGAACAAGTCATTGTGTATACTTGTTTTTAGAGATAATTTGTGAATGGTTATATGCATTTATAGTGCTTGTTTTTTTTTGCTTTTATCTCCAGTGCTGGCACACTTCCTGTCACATTCCGTTGCCTGGAGGAGAATTTGGCAATTGACAAAAGAGTCACTCGTTTTGTGCTCCCAGTAGGTGCCACCATCAATATGGATGGAACTGCTCTCTATGAGGCTGTGGCGGCCATCTTTATTGCCCAGATGAATGGTGTGCATCTTGATCCTGGTCAGATTGTCACAGTCAGGTAAGAAGAGCTTTCTTATATATATGTTTATTTAATTCAAGGTTCAAAGAGTCTTTAGTTTGTAAATGAGAAGCATGCCTTTTTTCTGTAAATCAAAAATAACAAAGAAAGTAATTCAGTTGTCGATAAGTCAGCATAGTTACTCAGCAGAAGTGTGGATGTATTAATCAGTAAACTATGAAGAATGTGTGCTTAGAAATAAGAAAATTAAAGTGAAGCACATAAACCAGCATGAGGAAGTAGCAATAGGGCCGAGCCTCATGCTAGGCAGGAAGACAAACAGTGGGTACATGCTCTCTTTCATCAATCTTTGCCAAAAGACTCTTCTCATAATAGAGTGAGTTGAAGATGGATGACCCTAGATCTGACATTTTTGTGGCACATAAATCAATGAAGCTTCAAAATAAACATCCCATCTCCCACATTTTGGAACCAAATCAGGTTTTCCCCAGGCTTGCACTTTATGCAGCCTAAAGAAAGAGCCCTATAGAAAGAGCCAGTATGAATACAGTGCCTTTTTTTTTCATATTTACAGATTTTCTCTGTTTTCACTTTTTTACCACATTTAAATATTACAAATTATGAACCTTTAATACTAACATAAAAATAACCTGAGTAAATAAACAGACCTTTCAGAAATTACTTAAATAGTAGTTTTGGATGAAAAAAAATATCGAAAGTCTTTTCAAGACTTTTGAGGAGACATTTTGTATGGTGAAGCGATAAAAGGAGAACTTTCTGGAAGGTGCAATCTGTTACATCTTCACAGAAGTTGACATTTTGTGAAATGTTCTCAAATATGATGGCAGAGGTGCTGTTCCTTTAGAACTTGGGTGACTTACTGTAAATGACAGACTCATAAAACTTGACATCTGACAGAAACCCAGCTGTCGACTTTAAGTAGCAGTAAACAGTGATCGAAAGCACGTCAGCAAGTCCACTGTCTAATGACTTTGGATGAAAAAAATAAAGAGTTGGAGTGCAGGGAAAGTCTGAAATTTAATCCAACTGAGATATGAGGTCAAGCAGGTTGGTGTTGACAGCACTTTCACTTGGTAAATTAATTAATTTGAAAACTGCATTCAGGTTACATTTTCTGAAGACCTGAAACATGGGGTAAAAGAAAAAGAGAAGCAATCTTTTTTTTTTTTTTTTTTAAACTCTGTATGTTATTATCTACATAACTTATTTTCTTTTTCTTCAGTCTGACAGCCACCCTTGCCAGTGTTGGAGCAGCCAGTATTCCCAGTGCCGGCCTGGTGACTATGCTGTTGATCCTTACTGCTGTCGGCTTACCAACCCAGGATATCAGTTTGCTGGTTGCTGTTGACTGGTTATTGTGAGTCTTATGCATATATTCTGGTTATATTTTGTTCATATAATAGATTTATATTATTATGCACAAAAAAATGTCTGATGTCTTTAAAATCTTGGTTTGTTTCTCTTCAGGGATCGTTTCAGGACCTCAGTGAATGTGGTGGGTGACTCCTACGGTGCAGGGATTGTGTACCATCTGTCCAAAGCTGAGCTGGATGAGCTGGATGCGCACATGGCTAAATCAGACGACATCGAAATGATGACAAAGACCCAGTCCTACTATGACGACATGAAGAACCACCACGAGAACAATTCCAACCAGTGCGTCTTAACCGCAACCTCTTCTACAGCTGCTACTGCCAATGCTAACAATTCTGTCTTAGTAGATGAATGCAAGGTACTATTAACGCTTTCTGACATAGAGACTTCAATATAGCCCTCTGCCGTTGCATGCTCATCCCGCAGCTTTGCTTTGTTCTGCTTGCTCTCCACCGAGTCTTTGTAAGCAGAGATGCACTTTCATACACTCTTCATTTCACATCTGTACCAAGTTTATTTACTCTTCTGGAACAGCCACTTTTGTGTTTAATGATCATTCAACATTTAAAACAATTCAAAACATAGTTGATGTGCTTGCATAGAAAATTAAAGACAGATCAGCTATCCCCCCACGACGATTTATGGGACAAAGTATGAACTTCCTCAATATAACTCTGAGAAATTATTTAGCAGTGTCACATCTAACGCAAGTTCAGAGTAGCTCAATAAACACAGCTTTAGTTTCAATTAAAAAGTTTCTATCAATATTTTAGTTGCTATTTTCTGTTTATACAACATTATATCCAGCGGCTTTTCTTCACTTTATCTTGTTTTGCGGCTGATCATAAATCTTTAATACATTTTTTTTACTCATTTATCCTTTTAATTTAAAATGCAGTGATGGGAAGTGTTGCATAATTAGCAGTTCATAAATAACTAATGCACACCTCTACATCCCACCAAGAGTGATTAAGTGCTCTAACACAGTCTCTCTGTCCCAGCTCTGAGAACTATGCGGCAAAATCAAAAGCTATTGTAACGATAATGTAGAACAAATCACAGGTTAAATCTCAGCTCTATGTTTTTTTCGTTTTGTTTTTGAAACTTTCATACTATTACTTGCACACCTGGTCAGAAAAAGTCAAATGATGAAATTTGCATTTCTTAAATTATAAAGGGTGTTGCCAAGAAGTACTGTAAACCAGTAAAACAATTACAACCACCTCTTTTCAGTGTCCAAATTGTAAGTAATTTTTTTATGTTTGTATGTGACACAAAGGCCACTTCCAGGATTTGCATTTTCATTATTTCTTTTACTATTTTATGTTTTTTTTTTTCTGATGTACATACCATGACTCACATTACTAACCCTGTTCCACACTGCTTTAGAAGACTTGCAAAAATGACTAAATATAACAATGCATTTATTTATTTATTTTTTTATTATTTATGTTTTTGTACATTGTTTAAATTGATGTGTATATTTTGTATGGACCATTAAGATTTTATTTTGTCTCATCTTACATTTTACATTTTGTGGCATTGTTATTAACCTTAATGTGAAAAATAATCAAATTCGTAGTTCATTCTCAAGTCAAACACTTCCATTGCCATAAGGATGAACCTTGTTGGTTGCTCAGAGGTTCCCATAATTTGCCATTTCTGCTTCTTCTAAAAGAAAAAAAAAAAAGACTGGCTTTTTGTTTGCTGAAACATTAACAAAGTACAAGATACATGCAAAGTGATGATTGTTTTATACATGGATAATGAAGAATTTATAACTACAAGCTTTAAAATATGACACACCTTCTTCAGGGGAGGGTCAGAAAACTCAAAAGAAAACATTTAGTGAAGATATATCTATATCTATATATAGATAGATATATATATATCTATCTATATATAGATATAGATATATCTATATATATATAGATATAGATATATATATATATACAACCACAATTCACAATCACATCATATTTCCAAGAGGCTTCCTGTACTGCAATCAGTGTTTATGCCATCAGAGCTCAAGACTGTTTCTATCAACCCTATATGCTGCAGCTGTCTTTTTGTGCCAATAAGAGGACATTTTAGAGGACTCAGAACAGAAACGGGTTAAGCTAAGATTATTCAAACTATCTGCTGCTGATTATAAAGGTGGCAAAGGTTTGAACAAAGCAGGGAAAACTGGAAAACTTGTTGAAGGGATAGTTCAGGATTTTTTAAGTGGTCTTCTAAATTGTTTTATGCAGTTGATATCTTAACCCTTCTGATGCCTTCATTTAGATATCTATATATATATAGATCTATATATATATATGCAGTACAGACCAAAAGTTTAGACACACCTTTTCATTCAATGAGTTTCCTTTATTTTCATGACTATTGACTTTGTAGATTCACACTGAAGGCATCAAACTATGAATTAACACATGTGGAAATATGTACTAAACAAAAAAGTGTAAAACAAATGGAAATACGCCTTATTTTGTAGTTTCTTCAAAGTAGCAACCTTTTGCTGTGATTACTGCTTTGCACACACTCTGCATTCTCTGATGCGCTTCAAGAGGTCGTCACCTGAAATGGTTTTCATTTCACAGGTGTACTCTGTCAGGTTAATAAGTGGGCTTTCTTACATGAAGTTGTTCTGAGACTGTAGAGGTGCACATTGGTATTCACATAGGTTAACATTAACTTCAACTGTCTATGATAGTGGATTTATCCTAAATGCAAACAGAGAGATCTATGCGCTGTAATAACATATTAACCGTGTTTCCATTAACACCACCTGCAAATGTTCTAAATTCTCCTTTGACTGTGAACAGTGTGAAGAGTATTCTTTAACGTGTGCCATGAATGAGCTGCTCAGATCTTCCTGCTGACTGCTTGCAGGTAACCTCAGCCGCTAACGGTTCTGCTGCGGAGTGCACGCTTGTTGAGGAGGAACCATGGAAACATGAATAATGGCAGCGCAGAGATCCCCCTGCTCCTGGGCTCCACGAGCTTTCCTATCTGGTGATAAAACAAGAAGAGTGAATGAAAAGTCACATGAACAGAACTACTAATGTTTTTTTTTTGTTTGTTTTTGTTTTTTTATGTAGTTTTATTTTTTTTATTCTTAGACCCTTTAAGAAGATTTTGGTATTTTGTCCATCTGAGTGGTATGTTATACTAATTCACATAACCGTGAACTGACAACAGAGTTATACCTCACTTTTTAGCGCGCAGACACATCCTGTATATCAGATACTTGCACAACATACTTCAAGGCTTGGGGAGGGAAGAAAGAGAGAATTATTAATGAATATTTTTTTCTTAGGACTACAGTTCAGTATATGCTTATATAAAAAGCAACAAAGTAGTGGTGCAACTCACATGCACTGAGGGCATCTTCCACATGTTATAAAGATGGCTCCTTTTTCTGAGTGGGAACCACACCAATGATGGATGCAACTGATTTTATCTGTGTTTAAAATGATGTATTTACACCTTCATAAAAAATCTCTGGTAGATCAATTTACGATAATCAAGTACTCTGATCAAAGGAAAATCCTTCTGAGCCTCTTCACATACAAGTATTATCACAAAGCACAAATTATTTCCACAAACCAGAATTTGTTTCCCCTCTTCTTTTTTTGTCTTCTGTGAAGAAAATTGACATTCTTCTTTCACATATTGAGAGAGATTTTAAAACTAATTTATTTGTGTCAAGAAAGCATGACCAAGTCAAGAATAGGGACCAAACAGGCAAAAAGTCAACCGGCTAACAGAAGCCTTTCCTCTGCCTCCTTACGCACTTGCAACACATTGTCACTTTTTTTAAAATCCACAATATGATGCAAGTAAAATCCCTAAAATATTTATGAAGCACTTTTCTCTTTTTCCCCCAAAGTACCTTTACGATGCCAATGAAATTAAAATTTGTTTGTATTCCTCAAAAAAAAGAATAAAATATATATACAAATATTGCACCCTGAAAGAAATGTATGGATTATATGGAGCACAATTAATGTCAAAATGCCAAGTTTAATTTGTAGTTAGTGTTTTTTTTTTCTTTTCTTTTTTTGGCCATTACAACTTTGTTGCATATGGAAATTGATTTACAGCAAACACCAGACACTCAGGCTTTTTATGTTTACCTTATCAAGAACTCTTGTAATGTCAAACTGTTTACTCTTATCAGCTAAAGGAAATGGCTTCTTGTTAGCACCATTTATCAGTGCTTTGTCTGTGAAAAAAAAGTGTTTATCTTCAACATTTATACTGAAAGAAATGTGAAAATATTGTGGAAAATGAAGATTTCAAGCACACTCATTCACATGGTTTTTAAGCTATATTCCACTGGGGGAATCAGTTTTTTTTTCTTCCTGTAAGCACAGTCATCCCTGAGCACTTATGAAGCACAGTAGGTGAAGCAACAACCACAATTCACAATCTCATCATATTTCCAAGAGGCTTCCTGTACTGCAATCAGTGTTTATGCCATCAGAGCTCAAGACTGTTTCTATCAACCCTATATGCTGCAGCTGTCTTTTTGTGCCAATAAGAGGACATTTTAGAGGACTCAGAACAGAAACGGGTTAAGCTAAGATTATTCAAACTATCTGCTGCTGATTATAAAGGTGGCAAAGGTTTGAACAAAGCAGGGAAAACTGGAAAACTTGTTGAAGGGATAGTTCAGGATTTTTTAAGTGGTCTTCTAAATTGTTTTATGCAGTTGATATCTTAACCCTTCTGATGCCTTCATTTAGTAGAAATCTGAACTGGGTGGTCCCAAAGGCTGAAGCTAACGATTAGTTAGGAATGGCCCATGACCATAGTGAACTTCTAAAAAACTCTGGTCTCAGAAATGTCAAAGCAATTCATCAAACCCATTTTTATTAATGATTATTTACAGAGGAAATGGTGGTTGTAGGTGGTGCATCACCAGTGGAATGAATCCCTTAGAGCAAAATGGATATGTACTGCTGCATTTTCATTTGCTCTCCACATGTAAATTTTTGATGAGAATTTTCTTGATAATAAACATGTTTTTTTCAAAAGTGCAACATTTTAAAAACACCATGGTTTAACTTAGTGAACAGAGTAGCTTGAGAAAACTAAAAGCAATGACGTAAAGGCACTCTTTGTGCATGGACATAATGGCTTTCTAGAAACCACAACAATATTATAGCTGTTTATTATCCCTGCCTTACTTTGTTATGATTCATTTGAATTAACTTCAAATGAAGTAAATGAGGCAATAACCAATAAAAACTTTTTTTTTATTCTTTCTTTTTTCCAACAGTTTTGGGAGAACATTGTGTAAAACATTCCCCTGTTGATACAACTGTTCAAAGCAAACATGGCAGTTGTTTTAAAAGGCATAAAATGGCATTAGCATGAATTGCTATGATGCTCCAATTGGAGTTGTTCTGTTCCAGCCTTCAAGGACCTGAATCCTGAACTTTCCCCTCATCCTGGTGTGAGTGGGCCGTGAGACTTTAGTTACGAGGGAGTTGATTAAGTCGTTTTTTTTTTTTTTTAGGTGGATCCTTCTTTCCTCTTTTGTTTCTTTTTTTTCTTTGTGCTGAAATGAAAACCATGCCTTGAAGGTGTTCAAATCAAATGTCATTTACTGTAACAATAGTAAACCTAACTTAGCACTTTGTCCTTTAGTTCTCAAAGTACATTCTCGGTTTACACCTGTTTAAGTTAATTTAACATAAACGAGGCGTGTTGTGAACAACATTGGTGTTCTACTTAACATATTAAAGGACTGATGCATACTAAAACAAATAAAACACACACATAGACACTCATTGAATCACCTGGGCTTTTATTCCTGAACACATATATTAAAAACACTTAAATCTTAAAGGTCAGTCAAGTCTGATCTATATTTCCTGAGCTGCAGAGCACAGAAGTGACACCTTTAAAGGCTCTTTAAGCCTTTCCTTTAGCTCTTGTGTGATACATATATATATTAAAAAAGAAAACTTCTCCAGTGAAGAGACAATGCAAATCATAGTGTCCCATAAGAGTGTTGAATGACTACTATGTTCAATGTTATGGTTGTAGACGCATGAATTAAATAAAAATTCTAATTATTTTTTTGCACCACTATCGCATGATATTTTGAAGTGCTTCCATGCACTTTGTGTATATATTGTAGTTAACAGATTTTGTTTTCCTTTTATTGGTTTGTTTTGTTTCTTTTTAAATGCCATGTAGAAATAAGGTTTCATTCCTGTGACTCGTTGAAATGTAATCAGCTAGAGAAAGGGAAAAAAACAAACAAATAAAAAAAAAAAAACATTTGTTTTAATAGATTAGACGAAATGTATAGAAGATGACATGTAATAAATTGCCTGTCTGAATTTATTTTCTAATTGCTGTTAACTAGCATTTTAACAGTTCTGTCACACATATGACATATAAATATCTTTTCTTTTGTATCTAATGTAAGCGTTTTGAATGTTTGTTCCATAAAGATATAAAGCGGTGTGAATTCATTTTCATTGTACATATATGGATATAATTGTTCTGTTCTGTGGCAATGCAGAGGTTAATTGAAATTGCAGAGATCTTGAATCAAACGCAGTTTGTATGAAGAGAGGTGGTTAAGAAGAGAAATAAAAACGAGAGTAAAAAAAATGTTTCTTGTTTTAGAAGGAGGCCAATCTCACTTATTTAGGGTAAAACTGATGTTATGAAGGTATTTAAAGACGAAAAAAGGGTAAAGTTTGCCCTTGGTGTAGGACACACAGAGAGAGAAAAATCATAGCCAAGAAGTTAATCAGAGAGAATAAATGACTGCTATTCCTATGCCTACCACAGTATACAGCAACGATCCTCAGGTGAATTATCTGAATCATTTTCAAAGGAAACATGCTGGCTTCTGAGTCTCAGGCATGTTTGTTCCACTGACTCATTTAAATATACAAGTCATGAATATCTAGACCCATTCGAGTCTATGCCTGCCTTCAGTTCACCCCTTCTTCACACATCCCACCTCTTTTGCACAATCAATGCCAGTGAAGTTTACAGGAATCCCATGTTTTGTTTTTTTTTTTTTTTATTGCCTTCAGTCTCAACAGCTTTTTGAATTTCACACATAAACAGGTATGTTGAGAGACCTGACACCTGCTCAGCTAAATGTTACCAATTTGATGCAAAGTAACTGACAATAAAAAGCTGGAATATTTTTAAACACTGTAAAGTGTGTCTTTTTGAAGGACTCCATAAGTAGACATGATGGTCTGTTTCATAGCTGCCTTAAATGAGTTGGGGTCTGCCCTTATTGTAATGATGTTGTAATATCAATGTAATGGCAAGAGAGTATGTGTGTGAGAAATATACTATTGGGTTAAAATAATAGAATGAAGCATTCTTTCCTCAGATTTTGGTTGACATGAAAACAAAATATCTGTTTCTACATATCAACAAATGTTGTACCTTTGGTGTACATATACAAATATAACTAATAAATGTTCATAACTAAGTGCTGTTTTGAGATTTTTGAATTGTGGCGAGTTTTACAGTTATTTTCCTTATGGTACATGAGCACTAAGTTAATCTATCTGAATGGTATTCGGTTAGATTGTAGGCAGATGTTTTTAATTCTTCATGTTGACTTACTGTTTATTAGAGTTTAAGGATAAATGACTTAGCTTACACTTCCTTTTTTTCTGCTTAATTTGATGAGACATTTTCAATGAGGAAACTCAGTGTGTGAATACACATCATTTAGGCAATAAAGTTATCTCAAACTTTACTGAAGAGGTAAAACATTTTTTTAAATCTCCATATATTCCTACAGTCCTATACTATTTTAAAATTTTACATGTGTTCTCATTCACTTAAGATTCAAGCTGTTTTGTACAGGATAATTTAAACACATGGCAATTTAAAGTGCTTTATAGAAAACTAAAGTAAAATGTAAAAATAATTGTATTTTGAAAACAAGAAATGCAATGAAAAGATGATAGGAAAAGTTAAACTGCACATGTAAAAGAGCTATTTAAAGTAGAAAATTGAAAAAAGGAAATTATAAAAAAATGATTTTCTCTTTACTGAGGGAACAGATGATGTGAGTTAGTGGCAGTTTAGAACTGTTCTATATATCTATCCCCCTCTATCTACTAAGAGTGGTTTAATTACAAAACTACTGGTGGAAATATGCATATAAGTAATTACTGATTTGTATCTTGCAGCTGTCATAATTTGTTCCTGTATTTGCTTTTTTACATAAACTTACCTTTGTCTGTGCAAGAGCAAAAAGCTGAACAGATTTTAGAAACCTGCTGTTTAGAAACAGGAATGCTTCTCATTACCAGTTTAATGTGTAACATTAACAAATACAGCATCTATGTAAAAATGTAAAAAAAAATAAAATAATAAAGTTATATTAGCAACAATGAACTTTATTTTAAAAAGAAACCAATTGGAATGAATATCTTGTCACGTACATTATGTAAATCTACCTTGTTAAAGAAGGAAGAGTAAAAAAAACAATGTTTTTGAAGGTAGAAAAGTGCTTTTAAAAATATTGATTGATTGAAAATGTATACATTGCCAACAAGAGGAGAAATGCACTGTGTAGCTCTCAGTGCTAGTTTCCATCTGCAATCTCTGATGCAGATAATAGAAATTAGTTCTTTAACACTCTTATCTGGTTAAATAATGGTTAAATGAAATAAATAAGTTGCATATTTTCAGTTCTTTTATTTGAACATCACTGAAAACAACTTTGAAAACAACAACTAGTTTTTCAATCATGCTTTAGATGAAGACTGTTCACACAGGACTCTGCATAAAGTGTATATTTAGTTTTGCAGTAGAAAGCTTTCTGGGCAGATTGTGTGTCCATCAAGACACCAATACAGAGAAGACAGTAACAACCATGCACATCTAGTAATGCTGGTGAACTCTTTATTCAAACGTTTGATCCACATGGAGAAACCTCAACCTAGAAAGCCAAGAAAAATAGAGTCGTAAACTACATAATAGTGCTGTTTTAAATTGAGTGTAAACTAAGAGAAACGTTTTTCAATATCCCCCATAATTTAAAACATATTTTTTAAGACAATATAAAATACTTTTAGTACTCTACAATTAGTGCATGCAAAATCGGCTATTATGCACTTCTGACAATCTTGCTGGTTGCTGTTGGAAAGATGCCAAAGGTATCTTTCAAAATGTCTCTCTTTGTCTTACTTCTTTTATCCTGTGCTAACGTTTTCCTACATCCCGACTCTAGTGCCATGGAAACCTTACTTCCTGTTACGTGAGAGAAATACAACATGCATTTCCTGTCATGCTATTCATTTATTTCTCTGTCCCCATGCTCACAGAGTTATGAGTCAGTTAACACTGTTCCAGGGCATTTGTACACATTTTATTTATTTTGTTGTCACTTTACAAATCTTTTCAGCAAAATCTTTTTGTCAAACCTGCCTAATCTAGTGCAACACGTTGTCCTCTTCAAATCAAAGGAAAATGTAAAAATAAACTTAAGTAGCAAGTCAAAAGAATGTCATTCACAATGACTGTATATAATTTAGTCTTATTCTAAAACTACATTGGCCACACAGAAAATAAAGTTGAATAATACATGTGTGCGATATATTCAAGCTACAGAAAGTTCAGTAGAAAAAGATGATTATAAGATTGAAAGCTTTATAAACAAACATAGAATATAAACATCAGCTTCTTTTCTCACATCTGGTTCAAAGCAAACAGGTGTTTCTCTTCAATAAGCCTTTTGCATTGTTATATGTCTGCAGTGGATTAAAGTCTCATTTTGGATGTCCAGTATTTACACTTCACCTCATAAAAATTGAGCTTGAGTTTTTCTCAAAATTGATAAATGTGCTTGAAATATCACCCGGTTCTTTATTTTGTTTCAAAATCAGTGTTTGTTGAGCAGATTCCCTATAATACACGTTTCATCCACACAGTATAATCGAAACATAATATTATTTCCGTATTCATCATCATCAATTGTGCCAACGCACTCACTTTGGAAAGCTATAAATCATGCTGATTCAGGATGCTATCTATTTTAACCTTCACAAACAACATTACAGTTTCTGATTAAATACTATTAGAAACAGCAGCAGTCCTTCACGCTAAATCAACAAAGCATTTTCCTATGAAAACAACAAAAAGCAATGGCAGCTATTGCAACATTTGTAAAGTTTAATATTATGTACACAGACAGGCAAAATGGAATCAAAAGGAAGATAATTGAGATTGATGCATTCCCAGTTTTCTTAAAGCAACAATTACAAACAAGTGGACAAATCTGAAATATGTGCAGAAAGGAAAAACAGAAAAATAAAGAAATAAGGGAAGTTTTTTTCTCTCACTCTTAAATAAAATATAACAAAAAGAAAATTACTGTTTGTTTCTTCTTCTGGTTAAGATTAATTGCTAGAATTTTACGGTCATAAAATTTAATGAAAAAAACTTTACACCCACTCTTGGAACTCCCCCAAATCAATAATTAAAAATAGCACACACAGTAATTAACGTGAACGGAAAATGAACATATTCTGATATTTTGTTCTGAATCTCTCATTCTTGCACACTGATCTGAAATGCTTTGCATCTTTATAAAAGCTTTTGTGCAAAACTTTGTACTTTAGTTGAACAGAAAAAGACACATTATGACACATCCAAATGCTCTTACTAAGTGCCCATTCACTACAAGCTGCCAACAGCCTCCAGCTCTTTTATCCTCTCGAAAGTCTTCCCCCAACTTCCCCAGCTCTTTCCTGCCCAACTCTCAGGCCTGTTGGTCTTTATCTGGAGACTCCTCTAACGTGATGACAGTGAACTCCTCCGTATTGCCGTTCTCCTGGATGGTCTCCTTGTTCATGAGGGTCACCATCTCCTGTTCCCTCTCCGGATTGCGGGAGCTGCTTGCTGCAGCTGCGACCCCATTGCCGTCGCTGCTGTCTTTGGTTGTGATATTCAGTGTTTGCTTTCTGCCACACCACCTGCAAGAACACATTGAGGGCAAATGTTACTCCTGCTGGTTTTTGTAGTGATTCAGTCAACAGCTACAACTGATAAAAGCTAAAAGAGTAACTCTGGATTGATAAACATCTCATCATTGCAATCAGAAGTGCATATAACAGGCTAAACTAGAAAAAAAATAGAGAATTTTATTAATGTGTTTGGATCATTCCTTTTCTTTTCTATGATGATTAAACAAAATCTCATTTGAGATGGTTTCTTGAAATGTTAAACTATTACAGATATGTTCTCTAATGCACACCTGATTAGAATTGTATGTAAAGGCTCAAATATATAAATTCACTGACACTTTTTAAATGCATGTCTATTAGCAGCTTCAGAGAAACTTCAGCTTTTTAGTCGGCATTGACACGCTTCTGGAATAAATCAGAATGCATGTCTAAATACTCTTCCAATCACAAATGATTGCTTACTTCAATCAGCTGATTGGAAATTATTGTTTGACGACCAAATTTACTGCTGGAGGAAAGTTGAAATTGGATCAGAAAAAGTTGGTCACAATAGCGACAACTAGGTTTAAAATCAAGGTGAGTCTTTCAAATCTTTTAACAGTAAGCGTGAAGCACAGTGGTGGAAGCATCATGCTGAGGATTTGCTTTGTTACCAGAGGTATTAGTATATTGAACAAGCTTTAAGGAATAATATCTGACTTGGTCTAATCTCCAAAATCTTCAACTTCACCTCAAAGCAGTAGCTGGATGGTTGAAAATTGAGCACATTTGGGCATTGGCTGGTCCAAAATGAAATGATTTTAAAACAGGTGATACAGATTAGCATTAAGTTTGTGGACCAGCCCTCCACTCAACCCTAATATTTCTCAGCTGTGTTGAACAGTCAGGTTTTGACCAGAATACCAACAGAGAAGGAATTGTGCACTATATGTAATGAGATGAGTGGTGAGATATCCAGACAGATTTATACCAGAGGCTCACGGATGGCTACAAGAAGCATGTGCAAGCAAGGTACAACCTGTAAAGAGACTTTTCACTTAATACTAGTGGGGCTATCTGTATATATTTGAGCCTTTATGTTGTGTTTTTAACCTGTGTCAATGAATTTAAACATACACATCCTGGCTTTTCCAAAATAATTTCCTAGGTGTATGTTGTATCTTTAGTTCAACAAAAGCACCAAATTACTATGCGATTCATTCCTAGTTCTGAACACTTTTCTCTGAAACTGTGAAAAAAGCACCAGAAGTGTCATTTCAATCAAGCCATTACCTTTTTCTCCTGGAGGCAGCAACACACACAATGAGAATTGCACCAACTGCCACAATAACACAAATAACAACCAGCCAGTCTAGAAGGAGAAAGAATAGAATAAAATATGAATATTGTGACAGTGTTAAAATGATTCCAGAAAAAAACATAGAGCACTATCAGAATATTGCTGTTCGCTGTCATCATTTATAGTATCTCTGGGTGTTGAATGTTCGGTTACTCACCTGATGAGCTG